CATGTTGCTTACCCATTTACTTTGAGCTAAGAAAAAAGTTAGAATAACTAAAAGTCAATGTGATGCATGTCTAACATTGCTTTTAAGCAAATTAAATTGTGGTAATTTGGATATATACATTTTTTGGTATATAAATAAAAGGTTTTGAGACAAATCTATGCACGACAGGAAGTAGCTAAAGCCCGGATTTCGGTGCATCCATTCTCCATATTTCTTGCTTTTCCATTTATATGTTTCACTCACAATGTGTTTTATATATTTGGATTCTATAATACAATTCCTCTAAGTGTAACCTTTAAATAGAGCATTAATGTGTCTTTCTTGTAAAATCAAAGGTTATACCTGTTTTCTCAAAGTTATGCAGTGGATTCTCTGAACAGTCCTTCTGCAAAAACTCATGGACATAATGTCAGATATAAATAGATATAACATTTTCTCAAGCTGTTGATTTTTACATAAAATGTAAATTGTTCTGACTAAAGACTACTGTTTTATTTTTTTTTTTTCATTTACTCCATTCCTGCCAACTCTCTGCTTTAATTTTACAATAGTAAATTCTGGTAAGAATTCATTTTCACCCAAATATCTGAGGGCACAAATTTTTGAGTTCAACTTTTAGAAAATTAGAACGTCGGCAGAAAATAATACAACAAGAGCCCAGAACTTAATGTACACTGTAAGGATTTAGACAGAATTTTTGGTATGTATTTTAATTTAAATTTCTATGGGTTTAGATACTTTTTGCCTGTTTTTTTTTTTTTTGTTTTTTGTTTTTTACTAAAACACCGTTTAGATGTTGACCCTAACTGGCCTTTTAATCTCTTCCTGAAATTAAAAATGAGTTAATATAATCCACAAATTACCACATGGTGAGCTTCATTTATTTAATAGATTTTCTATTGCCAGTGTGAGGAGTCTTAACATTGCCTTGCCATGTCCTTTATAGCTGTTACAGTGTCATTATTAATTAACAACGACGAAAAACAATAACAAAGGATTCCCCAACGATAGTCTTGACTCTGTTAACCATGCCATGTTTGTCTTTGATGTGGTAATTGTCTCTCTTGCCAGTAAAGCTTCAAACAGCTGTTTTCTCTGGAGTATTTTCTCCCACATGCTCCATCGCGCAGTCACACATGTTCTTGCCCCAAAAGAAATGCTCTCCCTACCATTATTTGCAGGCTTAATTGCCCCATGACAATAAAAGTTTATAGCTTGTGTATATAATGCAATTTTCTCTGTTGATTTATATAAATGCAGTATGGGTTTAAACAATGCTCCTGTTTTAAGGTTGTCAGCTATTCACTTATCCTTGTTGGCCCTGCTAATGAGCGGTGCAGTGGGGTTTAGGTTTACACAACTTATCAAAATACCAACAAAAATACTAATTTAAAACATAATATTCAGATCTAACTTGAGACCTCTTAAAAGTTGATGATAAAAGCAGTGTTTATACTTTCCTTCAACGATGTAATGTTTAGTGTTAAATCAATATTTTTAAAAAAGCTTTTTGGATTTTTTGACTGTATGGAGTTTACTCCTAATAAATACTATAATTGCATCTCTCTTATCTAATCAAAACTGATACTGTACAAAATGTATTTATGTGTGCATCATACAGACAGTGAAACCTCCAATAGAAAAAAATGTTTTGGGTTGCACACCAAGATTAACAGCAGTCACTTACTAAAAATTTCTATATATGACTTACAGTTTTATGTGATAGGTGCTACAAGAAAACTATCATATAATATTGATCTTCTGTTTTGTTTCACCATATATATATATATTTTATAGAGCAGCTAGAAAAAGCTTTCATATTCACATTATATCCAACAGATGCTTGCCACAGTTACATTCACAATAATAAAACACTCTATTTTATTTAGAATGGGTTTACTTTTGAACCAAAATATTAACTTTTTTGATTATCATGGATATTCAGGAAAACAAATTAATAAATATACTTCTACTTCCCATTGGGGTATCAAAACCAAATATATGGCAAGATAGGAAGTTAGAAAACCACTGCAGCAACAGCCAAATCCACTGTGACTTTCATCCATTTTCTGTTACTTTGAAAAAGGAGGACCTGCTACCTTTGCATTACTGCATGAATCTATATTAAGCCATTTAAATCCTTCATTTCTTTTTGCCCTGACCCTACTCTGGTGCATTATTGGACAGAACTAAAAACAGCCAGCCTAAAGCACACTTCCTTATTACCTTTTTTGTTGTTGTTTTATGCCATGCAATCTAAAAACAAACAATACTACATTTGTGATTTACCCGGAGATTAAGATTGACAAAATGTTAACACGTGATCCTTTAGATGGCAGACATCGCTTTGCTTGCTAAGGCTGCTAAACTTCGGGAAATGTAAACGATAGGTATCACAGGTGGAATGCCTTTTATTATAGTAACATAATAGCTAGATTTACGCAAGGTGTAAATATGCATATAGACAGTTTGAATCAATTTCAAAGCAAATATATTAGACCCAGAAACAAAATAGATAGACAAGATTAGACTTTCATCTGAGTGAAATGGAAAAACAAATCACTTCAACTCAGAAGCTAGATCATGACCTGGTAAATCCCTGTGCAGTCATCCTGTAATACCGCCTCACTGCCGTAAACCTTACCAGGACGACAAACCAAGCAGCAGTAATTTATCGGGAGAACTGTAAATAATTTCACTTTGTTAATAAAAAAGTACATTAAAATACAGTACACTGCATAAGAAATGCAAAATCTGACCGTCATTGCCTGCTTCATTCATTGATAATTGGAAAATAGAGGTATGTTTGTCTGGTTTGTAGACAACTCAACTTACCACATCTTGGAGGACCAGTATTTATATAAAACAGATATTTACACGTAGGTTCAAAAAAGTCATTTGTATGGTGATTTGTCTACATCGATCCTGGTTCATTCATTCAGATTCCTAATTAGTGTGGCCAGGATCAATAGGGCTTTCTTAAGGTTTGCTGTGGTCAAATGTAATATGTTACCTCTGATTATGTGTATTTTATTATACCTCAACATTTTCAATCACATTGTCATAAAAGATGTGCAAGTCCTTTCATGTCTGGGTTTGGGGGCATTTGATGTGCTTGTAAATTAGACATTTATTGAGGTGAATGGTGTCAAATTGCTCTTTCCAAAAGAACCTCCTACCTAAATATATTTGTCTGGTTTTGTTTTTCTTACCCATTTATCTAAAACTCCAAATGCCCTATAAACAGCCCATGAAAATCATTAAAACAATTATTAACTTAATTATTTATCAGGTTAGAGCGCTTTAGATGCTTTTGATCTATCAAGATTCCAAGGTAAGTGTTTCTCTGTGTAGATAGAGCCTGTATAGCATTATATGAGATTGTCTATATAAACATATATGTATGTGTGTCAAAGTATTGCAGTGGTCAATACTTTAGCTGGTTTAGCTGATGTGTAATTGTGTATGCCTCAGCGAAAGTTGATGCTTGTCACATCTGACACAATATAGATGCAAGGCAGATACAGTGCAGTGATAGGGTTATTTTTTTATATTTTATATATATACTAATATTTCCGTCAAATAATCATTTTAAACAGAGACAACCTTTTTGATCTTTGTTTTGTTTTCTTCCTGCTTCAGACGTCCACTGCTACTGTAAACATAGTGGTGACTGATGTCAACGATAACGACCCAAAATTTGAAGTCATCCTCAGCTCTAACTTCACTGTTAAAGAAGAGCAAGCTAATCTGTTTGTTGGACAAGTCAGAGTAAGTGAAAAGCTTCCTTATATTTTTTCCACGTTTTAAAGTCAATGCCTTCATATTTCAGCCACCATTGATTTCGGTTGTGGTTTTTTGCTGCATAGTCACATGTGTTTTAATGGCTACCACATAAGAGCTATGACTTAGTCATTGTTTTCTTGCTGATTTAAATTAACCAAATTTTACTCAACACAGTTGACCAGCAGCTGCCTCCCTGATGGCTGCCTTGGCTAAGCTCAATATGCTGCAAAATTTTTCTAATTACTCATGTAGATTAAATTGACTGATTCTGACAGTGAATTAATCAGGAATAAAAATAGTTGACAGTGTCTGCCAATATATGCGTTATAATGCAGAAAAGGAATATAAACCAACCTACTGTGTTCTTATTTTTATTACACTCACTGTTTACATTTATTCTACAGATTGTCTAATTTCTCTCAAACATTCTGGTACTTTTTTTAATACTAAAACTCATAAGGAATTGGTTAAATAAGTTATGTTATAATCGGACCTGACATTAGTAATGTGTCCATGTTTTATTTCCCTCTATTCCATGGAAATGTAAACAGGCAGTCCAATACTGTAAGTTTCCCTACATTTTAGCCTTCGTCACTGTATTGTTTATATCTGTGAACATTATGAATTTATGATGTGTAAAAAAGACAACATAAAGAAACATTAATCAAGCTTTATGTTTGCAAGCAGCAAAGCCCTCTGAAGTCAGAAGTCACAAGTGTTTCCATGTCTACTGCTTTGGAAGCTTTCTGATTCAGCAACTCACCACCATGAGATGATACTCTGGCTTAATAGAAAAGCCAGAGTATGATTTTTACTGAGTTTGTGAATTCATAGGCTGCGTTTCAGCTTGCTGAAGCAGATTAGTAAATGTGAGGAGATACATTTATCTGGAAAGCTAAATTCATTGTAAACTGTATGGATATTCACTCAACACACACACCCACACACACATACTGTACAGACCTGTGTCTCTATTCACATTCAATTGACTTCCGTTCATTTCTAAACCATTTCTTTAGCCTGACCGTGACCCTACACCTAACCATTACGGGTTCATACCTAACCCTAACCTAAACTGAGTTCACAGCTTAGTCTTAACCTAACACTTAAGCGTGAAAGAGCATTTTTACCTATGGGGACCAGACAATGGCACTCGGTCCCCACGATGTGCTAAGATTTATGGAAAATTATCCCCACCATGTAATAAAAGCGCA